TATGTAGTATATATGTAGCATAATTGTAAGCATCTGTACTTCGCGCGCACGCGTGTGCATGTAAATGGTGCGCAGCGTACAAAAGTGAATAATAAACGAATTTGTTATTATATATTCACCTCTTCTGCCAAACGATCGAAACCATTTATGTACAGCTGACAGGCTTGATGTATTCTCAATTCATCATTATTAATTTTCCAAATAGACGCCAACATTTGACATTTGCTCATCCACAAGATAGCCTGTGTCGAACTAACCGTCACACCGTCCGTAGTCTCACGATGAATAAATTCCATCGATGCTGTAATTACTCTACATAAAAATTCTGTACGTATATTATCCCTCTTGTCATCTCGGTACCACGTGAGAATTGCTTTGTCCGTTATGTCTTGAAAGAGATAAGGCTGTACCTAGGCGAGTAACGAACAAATGTATAACACAAATTAATTATCATATCTTGCTATAGACTTACCACAGATTCGAACAAATTATTTAATGGTTTCAGTATTTTCAAATTGAGATATGCCATCATGTATAGAACATTAGCCACTTGAACGTGTAGCAAAATCAAGTCATACCAAGCTGGAGTTTGGGAGACAGCTAGTGTAGCAAACGGCTGTGGCCCACCGACGTGCCCGTCCCATAATTCTTCCGACTTTATTATTACTTTATTTCCTTGTTCAAGTATTTCAGCCTAATAACACATAAGTCAATTTGTACATTAAGACTCTTGAATAATCATCACAATCATATATTGAATCGTGACGTTAAAAGCAAGAAATGACACGTTAACTTTTTTTACGTGCCATTTATAAATAAAGACAATTTGAATAATTTGAACAAAAGGATGAAATTGCTTTAAAACATTTGTAAAAATGGAACGAAAACTATGTTTATCCTTCCTGATAGTAATTCCTAATCGTAAATTATCTATACTTTTCGCGCGATGACTAGAAGATTCAGGAGATTTAAAGTTAAAATTAATACAACTTATGACGCCGTAAGTTGCCTCTCCCTCCCTCCCCACCGCACCGCACCGCACCGTGCATTGGTTACGTAATAATTTACGAATTTTTCCATACTCTACGTACATCGATAAATATATCCAAGAAAGTAACGCAGTGTTGTAAAAACATTGTTACTTGAATGTCGGATAAACCAATGTCCTGCATACATAATCTTTCCTTTGGCAACTTTCCAAGTTTATTCATTAATTTTGCCGCCATTTCCATTCTTTTCTTTATATGAAGCATCCATAATAGACAGCAGACACCTGTCGAATAAATGAGTAAAAGTATACGCACATGCAGTAAAAATTTACATAAATATTGACATTTTAGAGAAAAAGAAATAGAAAAAAAAGACGACACAAAAGTATATTTACCATGTCTCATATTCTTCATAGGTATTTGTCGTAAAACAGTTAAGGCAGCTGCAAGCGAATCTAATTGAGTAACATCTTTGTCCCACGACATGGCAAACTCCCAGCATAAATTGGCCAATAAAACGCTGCTTGTTAAACTGTATGGGAAATGACGTTTGAGCAGGGCCATATTGTCTGCAGCAGAAATACGACAGATTTAAATTATGACAAAACTTAGGGAGTTTTTTAAAAATATGCCTTTTTCTCTTGCCTAAAATGCACGCTTCCGTAGTCGCATTAATTTTTGCTTCATTCCCAATCTCTATCGATAAAGAAACAAGTTTTGACCGTTCCTGTTGAGATACTTGGACAGCAGTTTCTTCATTCGTATCGGTGAATTGTTGTAACGAATCTACAGACAATTGTAACTGATCGAACTCTACATCAGTCGTGTCGATTAATCGCGCTGGATCGATACCCGTTGTGCTGAGCCATTTTGCAACCAGTTCTGACACTGAACCTGAATCACCGGGTGAAGCTCATCAATACCAAATACACGGAATACTACTAATTGTTTATTACTACAGTTATTGTTAATTACTAGAGTTTTAATGTACCTCTTCCTCCGGAGAGAATTGATGCTAAACAAGTGTCGCTTTTCGTAAATGGTAAAGCAAAGAATCGTGTTGTTTCATCCGATACAACTCGTTGACTAGAATTAGATTAATATTTGTTACTATGGTAGCCAAAAATTATAATATTTATTCATGCACTTCCCAATAATTAGCGATAATAACGCACCTAATAACAGCATTCAAAATGGCAATATCCTCAAGGTTCCCAATCAGTAATACAAATTGACAGGTATCATTACTGACATTTTCCCATTCACTAATTGAACTGTACGTCTCATCATCCGGTGTAACATCATTCGATTTATTCTGCATTTCGTCTGTTTTAGTTACATTATTCCCATTTTTAATGTCTTCCTCTTCGTTTCCATTATTCCCCAATCGCTTCTCATTTTGCAATTTCTCTTTGTACTTCTCTACAGTCATAGCAGTCGCCCTACAGGCTAACGCAGCAGTAAACGCATTGAAAGGTTTCGTAGATTCTGTTAGAATAGTGCGTACATTTTTCCACCATGAGGAAATTTCGTTATATTCAACACATATTTCTTCCACATCTGTCGATTGATTTCAGTCAATTAAATTCCATACGCGCTATGTAATATTTTTTAAGCATAAAAACAATGGACACAAAATTTACCGGTTAAAAAACAAATGACATGCAGCAGCTGTGTAAAGTGTTTTAATTCAATTTCTGAAAATGTAGTTTCTTCCTTGTGCGACCAATATATTAATGCCAATCGCATGAAAATAAATGGTTGAATGTTACTGTCTTTAGCCGCTTGTTGCCATTTCTCTTTCATATTATCAGAATACATCAGTCCCTGATACATTAAACGTGCTAAAAGATGCGTTAAAGATCACATTTTAAATGTAATTATAAAATCAAAATATATGATACAATTGATAACAGCATATTTACGACACTATTACAACTTACAAATTTCGTGTATATTCTCCTCCTTTACATCTTTTCGTAATTCAATCATTCTCGATGCGCCCAGTTCGAAGCACGATAGAAAGTCAAAGAATGCACTTTCATTCTTAAATTTGACCTTAGTTTCTGCCGAAATGTTACCATCCAAGAAGCTGTTTAGCATTTTAGCTAATTTGATAACACGGTTTACCTCTCGTTCCGAGGTTAATAATATCGAAGATAAACTTTTAGTATTTATTGCGTTATCAGTCGTAATATCGTACTCAGACGGTACATCAAGTTGAGACTCGATATATTTATAAAATGTAATTATTTGTTGCAACTGCGTTGTCAATTGACGAAGCATCTTAGCGAGAAGTTCCAATTCTTCTTCTTCTTCTTCTTCTTCTTCTTCCTCTTTTCCTTCTGTAAAGTATTAACAAAACATAATTCTCGTATAATTTGTTTACGTATCTGCATATTTTACAATGTGCATACCTCGTTTTATTACAAAACAATTCGTCGCAGCGAGCAAAGTATCTGGTAAAATATGCTTGTTATTCATTAAAACTTCTATC